CGAAATAACCAGTAAACCTCGTTGTATGAGGAATAAGGGTTATTTCGGAAGAAGGGTTTTCTCCCAAAATAACCATGCCTACATAGCGTTTGTTATTTCGAAATAGGGTATTTCGAAATAGCGCCCGGATGCAATTATGCAAACGAAGCGTGGGAAATTCAAATCCATGCTGCATTTGCAATTTCGCTCAGCTGCATTCGCATCCCTCTCTCGAAAGAGGGTGCAAGTGTAGACATACCCTTAGGCTGTGTCCAGACTCAGGGGTTTTTTCGGGAAAAGTAGCCTTTTTCCGAAAAAACTTCACCTGCGTCTAGACTGCAGCCGCGTTCTTTCGAAATTAAATCAAAAGAACGCGGCTTTTCTTTCGACGGCGGTAAACCTCATTTCACGAGGAAGAACACCTTCTTTCAAAAGTTCCTCTTTCGAAAGAAGGCGTTCTTCAATGTAAATAGGGCTTCTTCGAAAGAGAGCATCCAGACTCGCTGGATGCTTTCTTTCGAAAAAGCAAGCCGCTTTTTCGAAAGTTCAACGTGCAGTCTAGACGCCCTCTTTCCAAAGAGCCTCTTTCGAAAGAGGCTTGCAGTCTAGACATAGCCTTAGAGACTAATAAAATACATACCTAGTATCATGAGCTTTCGTGGGCAAAACCCACTTCCTTAGATGAGCAGAGTGGAGAGAAAAGGGGTGAACCCTCACAAGGGATAACAGAAAAAGAAGGGAGAGGGGAAGGTAAAGTACCTGTCCGTTGTAGTGCTGGTGCTATTGAGGCTAATTGAGTGGGCTCTTTTTTTATTTTTGAGGGCCAAATGGTCGGGTAGCTAACCCCTCTTCATCATCTACACTTCCCAGCACGGCGCGCACACTATGTCCCTGAGGCCACACAATTGTCTTTCTTGTAGTAATTAGGGGGAACATACTAAGGCGCTGACAGTTCATAGGAAAGAGCTTGTTTCAAGTCCCTAGGTTTCAATGCACATTCTCTGCATTCCATCGAACCGTTTCACTTCCAGGCACACGTCGGAAAACATTTCGTAGTGTTTGAACAGCAAGTGGCAGAGGAAACAGCGTTCCCCAGTGAGTGGCGGAGAGGGACCAATCAGTACGCTTGAAGGTTTCCTCCTACCCGCGGATGCCTGGAAGCGGGAAACTTTCCTGAGTCTGCTGTTTGGCCTCAAAGTGAAAGTAGCGTATAAAATGGCTCGAGGGAACTTCCTCCCTTTCACAGGGTTGTTACAAAGCAGATTTTCATCAGCTTGCTCAGGATGCTGCAGAAAAACAAGCTCCTTGTGCATGATCTGGCTTCAGGAATAAGAATTGGCTCTTCGCTGACCCTCATGCTTTTGCTTTTATGGCAAGTGGATGTTATTGACGGAAGTGTTTATTTATCTCATCGCGGAAGGCAAACAATGCTTGTCCAGACCAGTGGTCACCAGCCGGTCAATTGCAAGGGACTGGTGGATCCCGGGGAGCCTCCCACGCCACTAGCCTGTGCCCGGGAGCAGCCAGCGTGGCCCCAGAGCCTCACGCGTGTGGAGGGGAGGGCAGGATTCTCAGCGTGCTAGTTCTGCCTGCAAGCAGAACTACCACCCCCACAGCTCCCAATGGCAGCCCCCCCGCCTCCCACGCCCGGGGCCACAGGGGTGCGTTGGCGCCCTCTGAGGGCAGCATGGGGCTGGGACAGGAAGGGAGCCTGCCTCAGCCTCGCTGTGCCACCAATTGGGAGCGGACGGTGGTAAGCGCCACCCGC